ATTATAGACCTTATTTGTAATGTTTAGAGACTACTTTTGTATGACCAAATTTAGGGGGTGGATTTCAACGGGCTAGTAGAACATTTTAACGTGAGTAAACAGCGATTTCTAGTTAATTTAGTATGTCTCACGATAGTTATTACAAAAATAATTGATTGTATTAAAAACATATATTATATCGTTGTTAAGAATATTCAACTTACCTGCCGTCTAGTTCCACGGTCAGTTTTTCACCGAACAACGTAACTTCACCTTTAGCTTTTTCTGTAAATGTAACGTTAGTTGTATTGTTCTGATTTGAAAAACTTGGCATAAAATTGATTAATTAGGTTCTAAAATTTATTTACAAATTCATTGTCATCTATCAATCACCTATTACGAGTAGATGAGGTGTTCTTAGGAAAAATAACAAAAATTGAAAAAACAACGTCTGCTTATTGAAACCAATTCAAAATGTGATTTAGTAATTTAACTCGTTGAGTACCGTCATTATAGACACAATTATAGAACATTTTTTTTTTAAGGGGGGAACATCATCGAATGACTGCTCCCGCCTGGGTGAGACGGGAGGGAGTGTCAGACTCTTACTGACTAAAAACCACCCCGTTCCTTCTCCTGCACGTCGAGCCAGAGCCCCGGTTACCCGTTAGGTTCTCCGCGACAATTATAGAACAATAGGTTGCGGTCACCTGTGACCGCTTGGTGTTTGACAGTTTAAACTATGTCCTTGCTTTTAAACAATGCAAAATATTGATGATGATTAAGTTACTAAGCTATGAAATCTTTATGTATATAATTCTTCTGTGAGTGTGTATGTCACTGAACTTCTCTCAAACGGCTGGATCGATTTTGATGAAATTATTTGTGTGTGTTCAAGGGGATCTGGGAATGGTTTAGATTCACAAATCAGCCCGGCAGATAGCGCTGCAGTCGGTATTTAGGTTATTTATCGATAGCTATTATTGTATTATTATTATGTTATATACAGGACAACGTCTGTCGGGTCCGCTAGTCTATGTATATAAAAATGAAACCCGTTTCCCGTTGTCACGCCATAACTAGAGAACGGCTAGACCGATTTGGCCGATTATTTATTTTGTTGTGTTTGATATCGTCAGGAGAAGGTTCTTATGAACGAAAAAAGTCCTGAAAATCCTACGGGAATGGGAGAAACGGGATTGCGCGTACGAAGTCGCGGGCAAAAGCTAGAGTTAAGTAAATGTTAAGGATTTAAAAAAAATTGCCCAGAATCTAGTGGAACCTATAAGTGGCCACTGTTGGCCAAAGACCTTTTCTCACACGGAAAAGGTTTGAGCATTAATCACTACGCTTGCTCAAGGCGGGTTGGTGATTTCAAACTCATGTCAGTGGTGTATAAATAGACTAAACTTACAAAATGATAGTGATATAGTGAAAGTTACCATTACAATGAGTTACGTACATCTCATGTGACTTCTGAGTACATTAGATATCTTTGCAGAAACTTACTAGCAGAGATGTGTATATGAGGTAGAACTATACGGAAATTGAGTCTAGATTGTAGTACACTAAGGCTCATATCCTCAATCACGATGTCACTGAGACCAAAACTCCTGATATCTTCCAGCTCGGCAGCCGCGTTGAAGAGCCTGCAACAAAAAGTAAACGAAAACATTTTAAATTAAATTAAAAAGGATAAGGTTATGGTTTCAATTACAATGTTATCAGTCTTTTTGCAGAACATTAAAATTATGACTGCATCATTGGCCGAGTGGTCGCAAGTGCGACTGCCGGGCAAGGGGTCTCGGGTTCGATTCCCAGGCCAGGCAAAGTGTTACTGGGTTTTTAAAAATCTCAGTAGTAGCACGGAGTCTGGAAATGTGCCCGGTATATTGCAATAGGCTCACCCCCTATTACATGGGACACATAACACATACAGTAGCATTAAGTGCCGAAATTTGCACCTCTGCCTGCCCTTTCGGGGATAAAAAGGCGTGATGTTATGTTATATTATTAAAATTATCTATTTTATATAGATCGGCATTCGGCTTCTGTTCGTCTGTTGGTAAGTGAGTTAGAGCAGCATTATTTTTAAAATTTAATTCAAGGTCAAGGATACATGTATATGATAGTTCGAAGGTTATGGGTGTACCTTCATGTCGTGAATACGCCACTAGTACGCCACTTGCTCACATGTCGTATAGCTTATTTTTCTATTTGACGTGCCGACGTTTGACCACTATCTCGCCTACTGGTAAGCGATGATGCGGTCTAGAATGAAGCAAATCATCCCATATGCAACATATTCACTCGATACTTGAAGACACCCAGGTCTTGGCAAAGAATTCTACTCCTTAGCAGTACGCACAAGGAAGCTTGTTGCCAAGCGCTTCGTCCGTGTGGGTGGGACATCTACCATGAATCGGTGACGCTTCACCGATTGTCTTGTAGTACGATGATGAAAAGGACTAGGGGGAATCTGTTTCTGTTCGGGGAATCAAGTTGTGCAATTAGTACCTAACATCGCACACGGTGTATGAACAAAAGAAGTGCATGGACACAGTTCGGAAGACGTAAATAGATCATTGTATATTACTTACACAGGTACAGGCAGTTCATATTCGTATACGTCGTGGTCTATTAAGAAGGGGTCTAATCCCATGTCCCTTATGGCCTGACTGATGTCCTCAATGTCTTCAATAACCTGATCCGTAATTATATTACGCGCCTGTCGTCCACTCACTGTTAACACACAAATTATTTTACGTAAGAATAATAAAGTCCCATTTCCATTTCCAAAGTGAACTTTAAATGAAACATTCTTTTGAAGAAAGAACCATCTATAAGGCACAAGCAAAACAGCTATTATAACTAAACTAATCCGTTTGGTGATCATCATCAATCATCATCATCATAAACAGCCTATAAATTCCCGATTTTTCTAACGCCAGATAAAAACTGAGAAATAAGTTTGAATTCATTTTTAACTTCGTTTAGAAGGTTTAATAAAGGACTTACGTATCTGTGGGTCGACTTCGGGAAGGGCATTGACGCCGAAGACAAATAGTGCAAAAAGTATCACAGCCCTCATCTTGATGTACCTGAATGAAATAAAATGATAAGTCAGTCTTCAAATCCCATCACACTATGAAACTTTTTTAATTGGAACAATTCCGTCATAACTGTCACGATCACTAAAACTATAAATCTAGAATCTACTGTAACGATACAAACGAAAAGCATTTTATTGGATTCTTTTTTTTTTAAAGAAACGTTGCCCCACACTACAATTGTCTCCTGTATCGTGTGTGCGTTTACAAACATATAAGTTCACACACACATCACACCCAGACCCGAAACAACAATCTGTGGATCACAAAAAGAGTTGTTCCGTGCGGGAATCGAACCAGCTACACGTTGCGCGGCAGCCAGTTGCCCAGCCACCACACCAACCGTGCACTCATTAGGAATTTTCGAATCGACTCGAATGAAGTTATTACGAATATGTCTAATAGTTAGTCAATAAAACACTACTTTCTGAACACAAACAATCTCTTTAGAGTCTTGACACAAACCACTTAGGACCTATTTTTCCAATGCCAGATAAATTTTAACTGTGGCACAACTTTCATTTTTCTCAATTTTTACATGCAAAACCGTGTCAAATGTCAATTTTATTCTACAGATAAAAATTAACTGGGCCTTTAAAGAACTTCAGAACAAATGAATAAACTTATTACTGGTTGACTTACCTTTTAAATGTCCAAATAGAACTGCTACGAAATCTGATCAAATTCATACGAAGGCGGATTATACGCGATAACAATAAGATAGTCAATTAAGTAGTTAATCCTTTGTAATCAGTAAAATTGCGCCTGAACTGATTGGATATAAACAATCTTACGTAGCTATTCAAATATTTGTTTAAGCCAAACTTCTTTAACAATGATTAAATAACGGAATGAATTAAAATATAATCATAGCTGTGCAAAACATGTAATAGGTATTATAAAATGTTTTACATATGAATAAACATAAATAAAGATTAAAATATACATAAATAAAAGTTAAAACTG